CCCGTGACTCTCGCCATAGAAAACAAAGCTGAACGTCTTCCATAACAGCTAGGGGTGCAGACTTGAGGAATATCCGAATTTAGCCTGGATACATTATGCTGAATATGGATTTACAGGGGGTGTAGCATCGTTGGAGACCAAGCCTTCTCGGCTGGGGTGACGGCAGGACATTAGCGAAACCGACGAAAATAACATCAGTATTTTTTTTCTCGGGTTGCTTTGTCTTGTCCACCTAACGATAGCAAACCATCATTCCCATTTCAATTGCAACACATTCAGCTAGTGATTACTAGCTGCTGCCGGGACGTATCACCATGTTGTCACCTAAAAGTAACTGCTAGGACGTCGGATTGTGAAGGATAAGCAGAAACCCTATCTTACGGGTGTCACCGGGACCTGAACCTGTGTTAACCACAGCCGCGGAACCCACTGTTTTCGGCGATATGGCGGAGCAGGGCTACACATCTTGGTGAGTGCGCACAGGCATCGCGCTACCGATTTGTAGTAGCTACTGAATGTTAGCTGCTGCTACTGACGAGCCTGATCGTTATAGATCACCTAACCGTTGAGTTATATTTTGACAATTCGTGGTAATACTTGACTATTCACACACACGCATTTAGATGTATTTGTCACCGTCTAGAGAGCAAAATGCCACTCATCCAAATATTTTTCTCTTTAGCTCTGATAAATGTAGCTTGCTGGTTGGCTAGCAGCGGCTAATCATCTCCACCAGCTGATGCTGTGCTAACGCAGCTTCGCTCAGTGGAGCTATTGTGAGCGAGAGCTACAGAGCTAGCTGCCCAGCTAACGGCTTGTTAAACTCATTGGGTTAGCCACTTAGTGAATGACTCTTTCGCTCCTATTATTCTGAAAATTGCAATTTGGCACGGTGTGCTACCATTGAATGACAGTGTCACATTAGTGCCAACAAATTAGTGTTAGCTGCTTAACGTAGCTAGCATTCATCGTCGACACCACTGCACTCAATAACAAAGGTTCTGCTGTAGCGCTAACGTTAAGCTAGCTAACTGGCATCGCAGTCAGGTCCCAAACTCCCAGTTTCAGGGTGAGCTTGGCATTGTGACACACCGACAGGTTGTCAAATCACATTTTCAGAATTGTGAGGTTTACACTCTTGAAGCCAGGTTAACGTTATAGTTTAATTTTGGTGCTTGGTGAAGAATGGATTTTACGAAGCCAGACATAGATGATGTGATAATTGAAATGCGTTGTCCCCATGAATGAAAATTACCTGACTTTTGTTGAGGCCTAACAGTTAACGTTAGCTAATTAATGTAGACTAAATTATGCTTGTTTGAACCCAGCAACACGGGATGAGTGTTTTGTAATGATAATTTTAAGAACAGCATCCTCTTGTGTGTAAATAGTCCAAACCAGTGACCCTTAAAGAGCAGACTAGGTTAATTGAAATGTAGAGGTCCCCAGAAATGCTGTGTTTTGATCCTATGGATATGTGTAACTATTATTGTGTGTCTATATTTATTTTTTTGGAAATGCCTGTCTTTATAGTCTTAACATCAATTGTCTGACTTATAAGTTTAAGATTAGTTTATAGAGGCCTTTCCTGCTGTGAAGCTATTTGTAAGGGCATGTTGTTTTTAAAAACGTTAAATAGAATGGCTTTGTGCCATTGTTGTTATATGCATGGTTAGTCCTAAACATTCTGTCAGAAAGCTGCAGAGTTTGGGGAATTACTTAGAGAAGGAGAAAGATGCCCAATCACCGCATAATTTGTAGGATCAGGTCAAAAGTTTCTTATCAACAGAGACAATTCACATTTATTAAGGGTTTTTTTCTTCAGCTCATTCATCTGGCATTTTGATGCAGTTTTTTCTCTATTCTAAATTTGACCTGCATTCTATAAGGTTGGGGGGAACTGTTATGACATTAATTCTTACTATCAATATTCAGCATGTAGGAAACAGCGTTAGTCATCAATCAGGGACAGCCATTGTTTTTTTGGGGGGGGCTGTACTTTTTGAGAGGCTTTGTGTATAGTGTGATGTTGTTACTAGAAAACAGTTACCAGCTGACCCCCCTCATAAACACTGACATAAATATAATGTTTTAAATGCCATGTGCAGACTGAAACTAGTGAATTAGTTTGAGTTTAAAGCTAAAGGTCTCTGGCTAAAACCTCAAACTCGGTTGATTTAATATTAAATGTTTTAGGTTTTCATTGCGAAAGTTTGCATGACATGTTTCTTTACAGTGATGGACTGGACATTTTCTAATGATAAGAGGACAAAGACACAACACTTAAGAGATACAGTCTTTAGCCCTATTCACACGGGACTAATATTACCTGGGGACCGTTAGTAATTTGTAGTAATTGTGGACGTCGTCTGTGATCTTAATCCCGTGCAAATTTGCCATGTCAGTAATTTGTGAAGTAAACATTACACCGCAATTACCTACCATATCTTTCAAATTTTATAAATATATGATGATAAATAAGTTCACTTTATGTCGTCTGATCCAGTGTTGGTATTGTTTTTAAGACTGTCATGGTACTTTCTTCACAGGTAGTCCAACCTTTCTCTGCACTTGGTCCAATCTCCCAAGTCCTGTACAAACAATTACTGGAGCAAGAGGTCTTGTGGAATATTTTCCCAAACACAGTGCTTTTGAACTATCACCATTTCGGGTAATTTATAAATCCCATGAGGTCCCCTGGTATTAATAGTCCTGTGCGAATAGCTCTTAAGGCGCCATTTAAACCTGTATTAACATGTGATCTATATCTGGATAATGACATCCAATCCACAGGCCTTTATTTTATTTGTCGTTATCTTTCGTTGAGTTTACATACAAAGTCAATGCAAAGACGCGTAGAGCCGCGATTTCCTGTCAGGTGGCGCGAAGCGTCACGAAGGGGGTCGGGCCGGCAACGAGAAGGAATTCGCGTGAGTTGAATATTTTCAACTCCAGCGAAGAAGTCACATGACGCTGAGTCGCGATAGCCTATCAGTGTTGAGATTGTCCGGTTGTCACCGAGGCTTCAGAGCGTTGTGTGGAGAGCGCCAGGCAGAGCGGCAAACTTAGGGGAGAAGAGCTAGGGGAGCAACGCTGCAACCATTGCACAAATAAACACCCATAGTCAGTCGGATTCGGCTCTGACAACTACGGCGGTTACTCGCGGGAGGAGCTCGGAGTTAACTGCTGTTATTAAATTAGCTTTTTACTTTAGTTTTGGGGATTTTAACGTTGATTTATCTTCACTGGAGCTTCTCAGCAGCTAGCTTCCATGCACATCCGGTTCCAGTGTTGTTGTTAGGATCGTTAGCTCTGGCGGACTACAACTTCATATTTGTATTAAAAACTGGACATTACTTGGAGAAAAGAAAGCGAGGAGGTTGAACTACCTAGTGAGTTCAGAAAACTTTTGTCTGTAACTTTATTCCAGCTATCATTGTACTTTACTGTGACCAAGTTAGCATAGCATAGCCCTGATCGATCCGAACTGCATTCAGAAAACAAACATTTTAGAAGTTGTTGTCCTGCTATCTTGCTGACAGACCTGACGACAAAGCATCAATTCATATGTTTAACAAATCTGCATCATGTTGTAGTTATTTCGGCATCAGTTTAATCCGTTTATTGCTATTTAATCACAGCGAAATGTTTACTATGGGTTCATACAGTTGTAGTAATGGCCAGTTGTGTTTATTCCCCTTATTGCGTTAAAATCGCCTTCTCGCGTTATGTGTGAACACTTGCAGGGAATGTACTCACGCGAGGAAAGCCTTGCGAGGCGAAAATTTGCATTTGGTCTGAAAGCACCATAAGATCATTATTTTCATATAACTCCTGTTAAGACAACAAGTGTATTTCTTAACCTGACATGTTAAGAAATACAGTTGTTGTCTTTTCCTATAAAAATCACCCCACCTCCATTAGAGAAATAAATCCCATCTACATGGGGCTTGAGTGTGGAGTTGCTTGTCTTAACGTGCAAGGTGCAAGCTAAGCAGAAAATCTTAAGGACATTGACCATCTATTGAGCCAGAAATGGTCTGAAGTCACTGAAGATCTTATGAGATAAAGGTGGCTAAATAGTTGAAGCGAAATCAAAGCTTGTTTGTTCTCATGGGCAAAATTTCTGCTTTGCAGTCAAACTGATAAGGCTTTTGCTCTTACCACTGCAGTGTGTGAAGACACCAATCTGTTCAAGATATTGGACAGCTTTTTACATGTTGACATACAGTCAGTTTTACAACAATGTCACATGACTTTGCTTTTTTACATATTTCCTTTTAATTTTAATGTGTTTCAGCTCAAGTTGCGAGCGTGTATGCGCATTTAAGACTGGTAGCTGTAAAACAAAGTGGAAGCTGAACATTTTCAGCTTCTATATTGTTATTATATCCATCTGTATTTTCCTTAACATTACATAGTAGGTGGTGTCTTTACTATTTATACCAACACCAGTAAGGTAAAAAAAACTTAAAGTTACACTAGATGCTAGAGCAAACATAACAGAACTTCTGTTATGTTAACAGAATGTTACTTACTGCCAGTTTTGTCTGTTTTTGTTACTCTGCCTTAGTCTCTGTTACTGATCAGCAGGAGAGGAGCATCCAGACTAACCCCAGATTATGTCACATCTTGAGCCATTTAATGTAACCCCATGCCCCCATTACCTTGGAAGCAGAAATAAAAACACCCACAGAGTTGTGAAATACCTCACGTAATAATGAGCAGTTCTGTATTTAAAAAACATTCACGCATTTCTATACTAAAACCATTACATTAATCAGCCTCAGGAATAACTTATACAATTTGTTGTATTAGTAGTAATTGGCTGTGTGTACAGACATTCGGTTTGGATGCTGTGCCCGACATCCAAACCGAACATTTCTGTTCTGCACAATTAGCTTTAAAGCCACTATGTTGTAGCAGGATACCGGATAAGTTGCTAATAAGTAAACCACAGCAAGCCCTGTAAAACTGGCTAAGTTACAGCATTGAAGGTGTCTTGTTTGATAGCAGGTTAGTTGTAGTTTGAATCAAGATGTAATAGGCTTCACAGCAGCAGGTAGCTTTGCAGCTTGCTTGATTCCTAACCATCGGTACATGACTTTATGTTGCCAACACACTGGGGACTTGTTTTTTTCCCTACTTTCTCTTCCTCATTTTCAGTTTTGCAGTTTGACAAATGCATGCTGTGGCAGTCATTTGAGGTGAAACTGTGAAAGTGTGCGCTTCCTGAAGGGCACACAGTGATATACAGTCACATAGACATATTAGGTAAGAGCAGCCCTATGCACTTTCTCATATAGTAAATAATAAATGCGGTGTGCCACTCTTTTTGCATTTGTATCCGGGAAACATCAGTCTCTGTGCTCGGTGGTATCTTGTGAAAGCTGCTAATTAGGAATCAACAAAGAAATTGTCTTTTATCATAAACCATTATATTTTTCAACTATTTGCTATCCGAGGGAC